TGTGTGTATATTATGTGCATGTGTGTGTGTGTGTGTGTGTGTGTGTGTGTGTGTGTGTGTGTGTGTGTGTATGTATGTAAGTATGTATGTATGTGTTTGTATGTATGTATGTGTATGTATGTAGGCTATCAAGAATGTATGTTGTATGTATATGTATGCATGTGCGTATGTGTGTGTATACGTATGTGTGTACCTATGTGTGTGGTCCCCGTACAAATGTGGTCCGTGTGCCGTGTGTCTGTGTTTACACATCGTACACAGGTGGCCTACTACAGTAAAGAGATTTACCGCGGAGGGAAATTCATTGAAACAAGACCTGAAGTGTTGAATATCCATCTACATGACATGGCAGTGATTGTATTCTTTATTTTCAGTCACAAGATCTGAAAGTAAATGTATTTGTGTGTGTGTGTGTGTGTGTGTGTGTGCATTTCTTTATACAAAGATGAGAACTGTTTCTCCCGAACTTCTGCAAACATTGTTCCTTCTTCTCTTCGTAGATTATACAAAAGCAAGATTCGTCACTACCTTAAATTACTGTGGGAAGAAATGTGCAAGTCGTATATTTATAGATTTTCGCCACCGACATTCTTTCCCCCTTCAGTGTCTCAAACACGGAGGTGACACACCTGACAGCGTACAATCTGTGGCCACAGGTGTATTGTCTTAGTCAACGGTGGTGTCGATTACAGAAGATTCTGATAACTTGAAGAGTGGGCCAATGTCAAGAGACGTTAGTTAAAACGTTATCTTCTACCAAGCCTCCTTGTCTTCTACATCTACAACTTTAAGTTTACAACTATACGGCCAATGTTTGAGTGAGGTAAGCGAGTACTCTGGTTTGGGTTGGGTTTTTTCTTCTTCTTTCTTAGCAAACATCTGTCTATCGTTCTTATCACTTCTCTATTCTAGTAATATCGCTCTAATCTTCGGCACTTAGGCGTATAGGCGAAGGTCGTTAAAAAACTTCCACGCAATAAGAAAAAAAAAGAAGGCCAAGGATTACCAGTTTCCCGGGAAAGGTACTATTATGACATAGGTAATTATTGTACGATCGTGGCACAAATGCTCAACTATGGGAAAGAACAAGCCAAAGGCCAGTAAAGGAAGACATCAGGGGAAGAAATGGAGATGAACTGGGCAAACCCTGAAGAAACCCCCGAAAAACATCACCAGAAAGTCTTTGACATGGAATCCACATGGAAAACGTAAGAAAGGAAGACCAAAGATGACATGGAGGCGAGTGGTACATGAGGAAATGGAAAAGGCGGGGACATCATGGAAACAGCTATTCTAGAAAAGGATGCACAGGACAGGCTTCTCTGGAGAAATTTTGATGCCTATGCTCCACTGGGAGTTAAAAAGGGCAAGAGAGAGAGAGAGAGAGAGAAAGAGAGAGAGAGAGAGAGAGAGAGAGAGAGAGAG